GTTAAATCTGGTTCCACTGGAGAATCCTCGAGGGTGTTGTCCTCGGGCTATTTCCCTATTGTTGCGAGGTAGGTTGCATCTTGTGCCGTTCTTCCCATTCCCGGCACATGGATGGTATCTCCACCTGTTCGGCATTAGTTTCTTCGCTGGGGGCCTGCTGGGGTACACCGGGCCTGTAGAGGCTCCCGGACGATTGTCCATGGCCCCGATTCGTGATTGGTGCCGGGTATGGGCATACGGCCGGGTCTCGGCTGGATATCTGACTAAGCGTCATTTGAAAAGACCTGGGGTCATCGGGCACGCCTCATTTAAACTTCAGGTGGGGACCTGTGTTACCCAGTCATCCGAAGCCGAGGTCGATCTGACTCGTCCTGCCGAACGAGCTGTGACTTCCTGAAATGTTTGATTCTCTCATTGTTCGGCCTTCGATGTATCGGGCTCTTCCATTACTGCTTCGATGGCGTTGGCGTATGCTTCTGCGGAGGAATCTGCTGGTGCGCTGAGCGAGTACGTGAGGTCGGTCGACAGGCTGCGGCGCCACATCATGGTTTCTTTCGAGAGTGTTTCCCTGAGCTTCTCCAGCGAGACGGGCTCGAACTTATCGTCTTTAAGGCCGCTGCCTTTCTCCGTGCATGCGTAAGCGGTGGTGCGCTTGTCGGGATCCGAGGTCCGGTCGTGCCTAGGGAGTTCCGGCATTCCAGATTTCCGTGAAGCAGGTTCCGGGACCGCTGCCGCTGGGGGGAGCTGTTGCATGAACCTCCAGAACCTGACTCGATCCTTTCGAAGAGATCCCCAAGCATCCTCACTGCAGTGGGGTTGGTTACCGGTTCGTTATTGCTTGATCTCTCGGGTGCTCGTTCGGCGTGGGGAGATGTTTCCGGCGCTACTGCGCTGGGAGTCTCCGGGTGACTTTGCTGCTGAGCGATAGCCAACTTCTGTGCCTGCAACATTTCAAAGATAATATGAAGATTAACTTCATGTTCTTCCCGGGCCGGGGTTTTTTGAGCTTCCTGTCGGTCGATATGCTGTATGCTACAATCGGTACGCCAGGCTTCGTCGACTTGTTGTGCGTCCTGCGAATCTACGTCCGCTAGAATTGGTCCGGGCGTGATATCAGGATTCTGCGGAGGTGCTCCAGTGACCCGGACAGCCATGCCAGTTTCCCCGTGATTTTTGAGGTTGTCGTTTTCGATTCCGTTTACCGAGCCAGACATTTTAACCTGAAATCAAAGGATCTTGGACAAGAAAAAGTGTAAAAGATAATGTATGTTTGTGTGACGAAACTAGCAAGAAAATAATCACTATTATTTTTAGACCCACAGTGGGCGCCAAACTGTTTACTGTGAAAATGGTAACAACAATAAATTTATAAATGGGATTCTAAAAATAAGTGATCTATTCCCGAGCTAGTTGTTTGAGCAGTTGATGCTAAGAACATGAAGTTTGACAAGGAAGTGCGAATTAAAACGAGGCAGTAGTCAAGCCAAAGGGGCCTGGTTCCCGGATGCAGACCGGTCGATGGGGGCCTCGGGGTCGAGATCCAAGTCGAGCTCGAGCTATCGGGGGCAGCCGGGGATGGGATAATAATTAAGGATACGGCTAAACGAGGCTCTTTACGGCCAATATTGAGCGATATAGTGAAGAACAAATAAGAGGACGATAGATATTAAAGCGACCTCGGGCCAGTGAGAACGAACAAGTTAGAAAGAAAAGAGAGAGAGATATTATTTCACTTGTGGAGAAATGGAGCAACATTAGTCCTTTACAAAGTGGCATGGGTTCCCCTTATATAGGCGAGGGAACGCGATATGGTACATAGTGCATTAAATGTAAAGATACGGGCATGGGACGGCTAGGCGAGGTACTAGAGTTTGCTGAGTCCAGCTGCCTGCCTCGGGAATCCCTCGTCCTCGGAGCCTTTATCGGGTCGCTGGCGATTTCCTTATCCTCGAAATCCCTGCTAGTTCGCAGACGGTCCTTGAGATAGGGAGCTCGATCATAATCCCATAGCATCGAGGTGCTGACATGATATTCCGAATACCTCAACAGCGGGAAATAGATTCCCCTGATTTCACCGCATACAAATATCAATTCTCCGTTATTCCTCCTCAATGTATCATCCTTATTCCTCCTGTTGCGGCGTGCAACCCGATCTCACCAAACAACAGCTTAAATCAACAATAACAACAAATCAACAACTCAATTACAAGAGTTTATACTACCAAGAGTATGAGTACACGGCAAAAAGAGCATCACGTAAAAATCAAAGGAATACAACAAACTTTACAAGGGTAACAAGACATGTAAGGCACGAGATAACTTCACCGGCAACCATAACAATTGGACATGTAGCAAACATAAGTACCTAAGAACCCTAAAGGCAACTCTTCCACAAATAAGACCGAGCACGCACTCGTCACCTCACATGCACATGCTACAATTAACATAGAGGACTCAAATCCTAAGGGGGAGTCCCCCACATAAGGTTAGGCAAGATACTTACCTCAATTCGGCCAACTCGACACTCAATTTAGCTTTTCCTTTGACAATTCACCATCTCTTGGCCCAATCTAGCCAAAGAAGACTTAAATACATCAAACAATGCAAGAGAAAATAATTTTAATTAACAAAGTTATGATCCTTATACAATTTGCAAAGTCAACAAAAGTCAACTCCTCGGCCCCGCACCTCGGAACACGACCAAATTTACAATACCCGAACACCCATTCAATTACGAGTCCAACCATACTAGTTACACTCAAATCCGACTCCGAATCGATATACAAACTCAAAAATTTACTTTATGAAATTTTAGACAAAACCCCCAATTTTCACTTTGAAATCATAAATCAAATACCTAAAACGAAGATGGATTTATGAAATATAACCAAAATCGAGTATAGAACACTTACCCTAATCCATATAGTGAAAATCACCTCCAAAAATTGTCCGAATCCGAGCTCCCCAACTCAAAATATGACCAATTGATCAAACATTCGATATTAAGTATTTTTGTCCAGCTATTCTGTCTGGTTTTGCGTGCCAAACGATCTCGAAACTCACTTTGATGCCTCCAATCGATTCCTTGTAAAATTTCAGTCAAGTTAGGCCTTTGAATCACTCCATTTGACCTTATAATGAAGGGGATATGTTTGTTTCAATATTTGAAAATAGTGCAGATTTTTAAATACGAAGTTAGCGGCAATTTCATAATTAATCTGAAAAATTGGCAGTCCAATTCATAGTAAAAAAACCATTAAATCCTCATACGTTATTCAAATTTGATGATTCTTTTTGCTATGGCTCCTTAAATACGATACGGATCTAATGGTTCAATCAAAACAAAAATCGAAGCTCATTTGTTTAATGTGGTACCATTTATGCTTGAAGAAACGACGTCGAAACATATAAAAAACGAGCGCAAACAGCCCAAAACCTGTTCGAAACTCACCCAAGCCCCTCGGGACCCCGAACGAACATACCAACAAGTCCCATAACAAAACACGGACCTATTTGAGGCTTCATATCACGCATAACAACATCGAAACGGCGAAACGCACCTCAAATCAAACTTAATGAACTTTCGAACTTTCGATTTCCAAAAACTCGTGCCGAAACATATCAAATCAACTCGAAATCAAATCAAATTTTTCACACAAGTCGTATTACATCATACGGAGCTACTTGTGCCCCCAAACTATCGAGCGAAGTGCAAATTCTAAAAATGGCTAGTCGGGTCGTTACAACTTGCTTTCATTTGTTGTTGTACTTAGATGATATTTGTCATTGTTGTGAAATTTCTGGAAGATTTTATATCCGGTTTACTTGAACTTGAAACTGTATAAGACTGATTTGACTTAAGCTGCCGGATTTGAAAGCATGTCTTTTCTTTACTGAAATTACTGAAATGAACTGTATTTGTATAGCTCGTCACTGCTTCTCAGTTCCTTATTTATTTCTGTTACTTACTGAGTTGGTGATAATCACGCTACACCCTGCACTTCATGTGAAAATCAAGGTGTGTCTGGTCATGGAGGACATTGAGCTCGTGCGTGGTTGAGCATCGGAGACTTACGAGGTAGCTGCTGGCGTTCGCAGTCCTTGTCTCTCCTTTCTTATTATCTTTTCTCTCTTGTATTGGCATTTGGCACAAACTGTTATAGACTCTATTTGTAGACTGGTTCTTAGATGCTCATGACTTAGTAACACCCCGATGTTTTGGGCTGTCTTTCCGCACTGTATTGTGATTTTAACTCTCGTTTTTATGAAACTCTGTTATGAAAAAGCTTTTGGTTTATCTTTTATGAAATATCAAAGTATTTCGAAAATGCCGGCTTATTATAGATTTGCTAGTGATTTTCACTTATATTGTTAAAGCTATTAATCATATACAGTAATTTTAATAAAAATAACGATCTAACAAGACGTCGGATCATTAAGTCAACAAAAGGTAGTCATGAGAAAAAACTTGATTAGAATTTAAAATTTTGCATGAATCCATGTTAACAACAAATGAAGAGAAATGTAATTGATATGAAGTATATTAAACATTATACTGAATATGAATTATTAATGTGAAATACATGTGTATTAGTTAAGTGGTTGGCTTAACATATAATGGTACATGTGCAAATATTAATTATAATTTTTTTAATTTAACGATTTGATGTGCTCATGTAAATAGCATTAACCTATAGTATATAGTTCATATTAAGCCACTATTATTTATCTTATGATGGGGTGGCATTATTTGCGTCTTAAGTATGGGAAAAACTAGACACTTCCACATGCAAACATTAATGACATATTATTATAGAGTATTGAATCTATGTATATTTATTCATTTCTCCATAATATTATAATTTAATTTTGGCATCAACATTAAATAGTGTCGGTGCATTAATTCTTAATGCTTGGGATATGTATCAAGAAATTCATAATTTAATCTTGTGCTTTATATAGTCTTCTCTATATTTAATATTTAGAAAGATTGGATGGTGTTTAATCGAATCGATCCACGAATACCGCCAAAACTTATATCTTATAGTAAACTAAGATACACTATGCCCATCTCTATGGTTAATGCAAATCGGAGCAAATATGGCTAGTGCAAAAGAATTGATCAACTTTGGTTTCCTCTTAACCATTCTTCTTCAAACAACTACTGGTATGATACCATGTTTATTATTTTCTTCTATATTTAAATAATAAGAAAGTGATGTATACGTATATGATTATGTTGGAATGGCTTTGTGTCTTTCTATTTTAAGTAATACTCTTAGTAATATCTTGTTTATTATAACTATGATATTCAGTTGGAATATTATTGTTTCCTAGCATACAAGTGATGGCTTTACGAGAAATGCCACCAACCATAGCATTGGCCAAACGCGAATTACTTCCACTTACTGGAATAATAGACTGCGGAAATTATTGTAGATCCAATAGTGATTGCTCTACTGCGTACCTTTGCAAGACATGCAGGCAGGTTATACAATATCCTAATACCGTGACATATGCATGTGCAGTTTGAGAACGATCGTGTCATGGATTTCTTAAAAGAATCCATCCACAACAAACATTTATCTTGTTTGTGTTGATTATGCAATTTACCATTTCATTCTGTCATTTCTATTTCTTTTCTGTCTATCGGAAATAATCTCCCTATGTTTATGAGGTAGGGGTAAGGTCTGCGTACACGCTACCCTCCTCAGCCCCATTTATGGGAATACACTGGGTTCGTTGTTGTTGTTGTTGTTGTATTTCTATTTCTTTTCAATTTCTTATTTTGTGATTGGATCTTAAGAATAAATGATGAATTTGAATTTATGGACATTGTTAGTTTGAGTGACTTCCTAAATTACTAAAGAACTTGGTTCTTTACCTTATTCCTTAGACAAAAATGATATAAACAGTAGAAGCAAAGACAAAAAATTTTACATGAAAAATCACCCGACTCAAAGGTGCAAAAATCACGACCTACCACGTAGTATTTTAACTTCAAGTTCACTAAAACAAATAGGCCAAATATTTTGATTACAAGACTTGTAAATCAATACCCACACAGTTCTCCTGCATCAACTATTTAAGTTAAAAGTTACTCTAACTTGAAAACTCAAACAATTACTTCAACTCATAGATTAAGTATGACACCTTGATTACAACTCGATTTCCTAATACACATTCACTATAACACAAGAAGAACACTAAGACTAGTAATCGACTTGAGTGTTAAAAATGTAGTTCCACAGTTGACGTGCAAAAGGATGCTCTCCTTAGTCCATCAGGAAAGTATTTAAGTTCACTATACTTCAGAGAAATTGGCTCAGATCTATATTGGAGAGATTGTTCGCTTGCATGGTGTACTCATATCTATCATTTTAGACCACGACACTCAATTTTTGTTGCACTTTTGGAGGTTGTTCAGAGTGAGTTGGGCATACGGGTGGAGCTCAGCACTGCATTTCACCCTTACACGGACGGGTAGTCCGAGCCGAACCATTTAGCTCCCATAGGATATGTTGAGACCATGCTTTATTTATTTCGGAAGCCAATGGGATCAGCTCCTACCATTAGTGGAGTTTGCTTACAATAATAGCTACCGATCCAATATTCAGATGGCTCCATATGAGGCCTTATATTGTAGGCAATATCTCTCTCTCCAGTTGGTTGGTTTGAGTCTGGCGAGGCTAGGTTGTTAGGTACTAATTTATTCCATGATGCTTTGGAGAAGGCGATTTAGAACAGGCGCAAAACACAAACTTATATATGCTCGCTAGTCGAATATAGTGTAATATAATATTATATCCACATGGATTTGATTTAAATAGTATTCTCGTAGTTTCTAGCTTGATTGCTATATAAGTGTTTACCTCAAAAAATGTGAGTAACAATTAAAGATGATTTGTGATTTTAAAGATATGTGATTTATTCCAATACTAATGAATATACAAGTAATATTAGGTTTAAGTAAGAAGAATTGGTGAACCAAACCAGTATTGTTAGAGCAACAGAGACCTTGAGCTGGATTATCTCGGGGGCCTCGAGGTGAGTTAAGAGCAAATAAGGTAAAGACAATAAAGTAGAACAATAAAGCTGAAGAAAAATTGTGGAGCACGAGAAAAGCAAAGTAGAATATTCTATTGACGTGAATAATGTATATTTACAAATGATTGGGGTCCCCTTTATATAGGTGGAGAAAACCCCAATATAGTACATTCCTAATTGTGGTAAAGAATTCTATTGGTACAGCTGTATAACAACCTTGTACGGACCTGTACCAACTCGTACAAATCTTATCCTTAGATATTTATGCCTTTAAGAAATTTCCGCTCTTTCTTGAGTGTCATCGAAATTGTACGGCCCTCGAGGCAGATCATGATGCGTCTCCGATTTTCTCCATCGAGGTATGCATTTTCCAATCAGACCTGGTCTTTACTTTGTGCTTCCCGAACTCGAGCCCGGGGTACCATTAAGTCCTCGAAATCGAGCTCCCCAAGTTCAACCGTATACAGATAGTCCCCGTGTTTCTTAAATTGAAATGATACGAAACGATTTCAATTCCCTAAGTCCTTTATGATGTCATCACTCTTATGACATAAGCGTTGAAATGACCGAAGCGTCCCGTCGGTTCTCTTCCCAAAAAGCATTAAACGCACATCAGAGTCGATCGGCTATCAATATTAATGAACTGTTGCAGCCTTCCTCTATATATACTTGTTTTCTCTTCTCATTAAGAACTTTTCCACCTTGCAACACCTATTTTCCTCTATATGTTTCCTTTTCACCACCAGTTCCTCCGCCGTATTAGCTCCAAACCTCGCATATTTATTCAGTTCATCCCGATGTCCCCGGTCGTCGAGAACATGTATTGAGATACGTAAGGTCAATTGTGAAAGAACACCTCGATGATGTGAGGAGAGAGTGTAAATGGGAAGAGAAGGTCGTTCTGCAAATACCTTCTCGTGATGAGGACATCACAAATTACATAAGGGGTTTCTGAGTGTGTATACATACCCCTTTACGCTGGGTCCCCTCGACCCGCTCGTGCTTGAATTCTGCCGAAGATATCAAGTTACCTTGGGCCAGATTCATCCGTCCTTGTGGCGGATCGTGATAATGATGAGGTTCTTCATCGAAAAGGCGGGGCTTGAGTTCACCCTCAGCCACCTTATCTGATTATACCGACCTCAACATTTCCGAGGGTTAATCATAATCCAACGCCGATCAACCAAGTCATTCTTTGCTAGCAATAATGAATATAAGGATCGAGGTTGGATGAGCCGGTTCATCCGGGTGAGGACCGCCGATGTCATTCCCGAGAAATTCCTACCGTTCCCCGAGAAATAGAACTTCGAATGTGAGTTGAATTCTTTGCTTTAGTCCTTTTCCATAAATTTTGCTAAACTTCGCGTAATTATTCCTTTCCCTTTTTCCGCAGCGGTCCCGTAGATGCCTAATGCGGTCCTCGACCACGAGGACTGGGTTCGCAAACTGGCTGCTACTTCATCATATGACAAATGCAACTGGCGGGACTTGTCGAAGGGCAAGTGGGAAGCGAAACACCACGGTACGCGTTACAATACTTCTTTCCTCATTAAGAGTACCTTTCATCATGTGACCTGATTCCTCTGTCTCAGGTATTGGTGAGTTCTCCGAGATGAGGCCGCCCCCTTCCGGGAAGGAAGTAGGATCTTCATCTCCAAAGCCAAAGAAGGTTTACAAGAGAAGAAGGTCCTCGAAGATCGAGGACACTCAAAGCCAAGAAGAGCCCGCTCGGAGGAGCAAGAAAAGCATCGTCATCAATGCGGATATTGATTCAGTCCACCAGTTCATGGACGATGACGATGACGATATGGAGGGTTCGACGTTGGTGACTCGAATCAGGAAATCTTCCGAGGCTGTCAAGCCTGCTGATCGGGGCCCCTAAACTCGAGGAAGGAACTTTAGAAGAAAAAAGGGATGAAGGCCCTGCATCACTTGACATGGTAACTACTTCTCAAACTTCTGGAAATACTCACAAGGGAGCGAGCTACGAAGCTCCTTTGCATGAACATAACGCCTCGGGTGATCTCCCCGAGGCTATGACAGCACGTCATTCGTCGTTATTTCTGGCCTTCTCCGAGGATGTCATTAGTGTTGCTCAGAGTTTGAAGACGTCCAAGCTAGGCGGAGTCCCGAGTGAAAACGACCTCTTCTAAGGTTGCTTTGCTGGGTCGATGAGGCCGACCCAATGGATGCGAGCTCAATCTTCGAGGAGGCTCAACATCTTTGCTAAATTGTAATTTTTTAGTGGCACTGCAATTTCTCCAATGCCATACTTTTCTTCTTTTGTCTAATAGATTGTTCCTTTCCTTTCTATAGGCCTTTGACAAATTGAAGACCGAATCGCGTCATTGTGAAGCCGAGTTACGTAGAGCTTCGAATGAGGAGAAAACCCTCAGGCGTCTCCTTGACAAAAAGGAGGAAGAACTGAAGCATCTCCGATCGGAGTTGACCAAAGCTCGTGAATACGAGAATGAGTTAGAAAAGCAGGTAACCTCTGTTTTGAAAAAATACGGGCTACCTCTCCCGTCTTCAGAGGCTAATACTTCAATGTCTCAGCTGCAGCAAAAGCTAGATATGATTGGGAAGCTCCGGGGCGAGGTAGATCAAGTTCGAGCCGAGTGCAATGAATGGAAGGCGAAGATGGACACACTTGTTGTGGCTAAAAATGATGCACTGGCGAAGGTATCGACCCTCGAGGTTCAACTTCGGAATGCTCAAGGGAGCATCTTTGTTCAGGCTGGCAGAATAGCCGAGCTCGAGGCCGGTCTTGTGAAGGTGAAGGTTGAAGTTGTTGAAGTCCGGGCCGAAGCCAGAGAAATACAAGCCAATGCTGACAGGACGGTGGCCATCTATTTAAAGGATGCTACGATGCTCAGATGGAGTTGAGGGGGGCTTCCGACCGAGAGAAAAGAAGCAATGACTATGCCCGACTCCGATCCCAGAGGGAGACCCTCAAAGAGATCCATGCTAAGGGCTTCGATCTTTCCGAAGAGATAGAGCAAGCTAAGGCAGATGAGGTTGATGCCAAATTTGTCCTTTCCTCCGACGATGATGATGACGTCAAAGATGATGAAGAGGATGGGATTGCTGAAGAAGCTACCCCGGGGAAGAGGCTGGTCTTGGGGGAGTGATAGGTCCGGGGGGGATGCCCCTTTGGTGTAGGTAGAATTTTGTCTATCTTTTTGTAATTTTTTGCTTTGTAGGACTCCTGTGTAATATCTTTTTTATACATAAAAAGGGAAGGAGTTTCCTTGATTGTTTGCCTTCAATTTTTCTTCAAAGTTTTCTTGATTTATGATGCTATAATCTCTGAGTGTTGATTCAAATTTGGGGTAGAGTATACCCTCGAGTTTTGTGTTTTGATCAACGATCGATAATAGGTTACCACTTAGGGTTCGGTCTTCGAGCTAAGTTTTAGCTCGGGACTTTTGAGCCCGAGCTGGGTAAGGTCTCGAGCATGGTGTGCTTCGGCCTTTAAGCTCTTCATATATTGGCCCTTAGGATCTTTAGGTTGACCCTTAGGCTCTTTTGGGTCGGTCCTTAGGCTCTTTTGGGTTGGCCCTTAGGCTCTTTAGGTAGGGCCTATTCGGCATCTACAATGGCTATAAATTTATCCCTCTTTCTGGCTAAAGACTTAGTGAAATTTTTGGTATGCCTTAGCATGTACTTTTCGATTTCTGAAGGTTCGATTAATTTGAACCTGGTTTGTAATTTGATATGCAACGATAATCTAACACCTCCTGAGATTTTTTCGAAGGCAGATACTATCAAAGTCTTCGCATTATT